TTTTTTTTTTTGAGACAGAGTCTTACTTTGTTGCCCTTGGTAGAGTGCCATGGTGTCATAGCTCACAGCAACCTCAAACTCTTGGGCTTAAGCAAATCTCTTGCCTCAGCCTCCCAAGTAGCTGGGACTACAGGCATCCACCACAACACCTGGTTATTTTTATAGATGGGGTCTCACTCTCGCTCAGGCTGGTCTCAAACTTGTGAGCTCAGGTGATCCACCTGCTTCGACCTCCCAGAGTGCTAGGATTACAGGCAGGAGTCACTGTACCTAGCCAGAAATGCTGAAGTCTTGACAGCACTTAAAATACATCTTATTTTCTTAGACAGAGGTCTCTGTATGTTGCCCAGGCAGGCCTTGAGCTCCTAGGCTCAAGTGATTCTCCTGCCTCTTGTGTTTCAAGTATCAGGAAGTGAGTCTTGATGGCATTTTATGGTTAGGGGAATGAGGGACATGAAGACCAGAAACCAGATTCTTCAAACATGTGTCCTCTTGAAGACTCTTCTGTTCATTCATACTATATTCAGACATAAAAACCTTTTTTTGGAGACAAAGCCTCAAGCTGTCACCCTGGGTGGAGTGCTGTGGCATCACAGCTCACAGTAACCTCCAACTCCTGGGCTTAAGCGATTCTCTTGCCTCAGTCTCCCAAGTAGCTGGGACTACAGGTGCCTGCCACAATGCCTGGCTACTTTTTGTTGTAGCTGTCATTGTTGTTTAGCAGGCCTGGGCTGGATTTGAACCCACCAGCTCTGGTGTATGTGGCTGGCGCCTTAGCCCTTTGAGCTACAGTTGCTGAACCTCAACTGAAGTTTTAAAACTATTTACCTCTCTTCTGGAAATTTTGCCTAGTAATTTGATATATTTTGTCTAAAATATACTACTCTAGGTGTTTATCAAACTTCAGGTCATGAAATGGAATGCATGAAATCATTGCGTCAACCAGCATTTTAAAAAAATGGAGTAGACAACAGGAGTGCATAGTTTCAAATACGTACATTAGTGTGCACATACTATGTTACGCAGAAAATGTAAATTGTGCCAGAAGTTGGAAAAAATAGACTTCCAAGGTGAATTTCTGCAGAGAAACTCTCTTTTCAATTACTAAATCAGAGAACTCTATATGAACCATACAGAGAGCAGCCATTTGAAACTGACTGTATGTATCAAGTCACAACATCATAAAATATTTGAGGGTTGTCAACTGATACTTGACAAAAGATGGTTAACCACTACAAGTATGGCATGTATAATGTGCCAGGCATGAATTGTAGAAGTTAATTACTTTATTACCCGCCAAGCAGTAATCAACATTATGTATGAAACAAAATGTACATTTCTCAGTCCTTCCATTTCCTGGAAGAACTGTCAAAACTGCTCATTACTTCTGTTACCGAATATAATAGTGCTAGAAAAATAATCTTGGTAAAGACTTCTCCATGCAGTCAATCTTTATTATAGCAGTATTCGCATATTCACATCAAGTACATAGAACTTTTTGCCTTTTATATAATACAGAGTTTTTAAATAACTTTACACAGAAATAAATTTCTCCAATCTGAATTTCAGCTATCTTTTTTATTTAATTCTCCATGCTTTCTATCCAAACTGAACAATATTTTCCACTATACAAATTTACATGAGAAAAACTCCAAAGTACAAATGAAGGGACCTGAGCAGGAAAGAGAACCAAAGTCAGGAAGTGGGTATGGGGAAGAATTAAAAAAAAAGATTCAAGCATACATTTAGGATTAAGGAACAAGAGGGAGACATCATCCATTTGACTGAAAATAAATGTCTTTTTTTATGAATTGAAAAATAAGCTTTAAAAATAGTTACTCCATTATAATTTTTGCAAAGCAGGTAAAGAGAGGTCTGTGGACAATTAAAAAGTCCCCATCTTTTCACTGGGCACACCCCAGACTCCATGAGAACCTTTTCAATGCTTGAATGGAACTGAAGTGAACTAAATCCAAACCTTTGGCAGTAACAGAGAAGAGAGGAATGTGTATGTGAGTTGCCATCAGGTTTGGAGTGGTGAAACAGGAGCCATTAATTCACTGCAGTTCGAACATGAGACATTTCCCTTTCCTCTCCCTTACAGGAGACTTGTCCTCAAACCAAGGAATACATGAAAAGGCAAGATTTTCATTTTTCTTGGTCTAAACCAAAAAGCAATCACAACTAATGAATAAAGTTCAAAGAGACATGTATTGATGAATGATAAAATTCAATCCCCTGATCAGTTGCACAATCGTATCTTAGGAAAAACAGCAATTGCTGTGTGAGGAAAGATCAGATACAACCAACAAATGAGATTACCACAAATACATATCACTGTGATACAGTCCTTCAAATCAGGTGATACCATGAAGGCCAGTCTTAGACTAGCTCGACCATGTGGCATGGCCAAAGGAAACACAGAGGACTCAAAGCATATTTAAGTGAAGGAAGGAAAAGGGTACAGCATACACACATACGCCCCGTATGTAAACTAATACAACATGGAAGATAAATAAGACAAAGGTTAGCCACTTCTGTTGGTATTCAACACGAATAAAAAGGCATTTTATGTTTATATAGCTGGTTTTAATCAGCTATGGAACATACACAAATGTATTAGGAAGGAATGATTTTTTTTTTTAAACTGTTCACAGCTTAGAATTTAAGCACACTTATTGCACTCTTACATTTTATTTCTGATAATAATAGTTTATTCCCCACCCTCACATTAATTTTCCCCTATCCCCAGACTTACTCCTACCTCACCCCATTTTGGTCTACATTCTCCTACATCTGTGCCTAGTCTGTGAGCTTTGTAGCTTATGCTAGTCTTCAGTTTCCTCCTATGCAATTCATATTCTACCAATACACATGTTGGCTCAAAAATACACAAATGAAGCAGGGTAATTTTCAAAACAAAACTGGGACCAAGCAACTTAATCGTGACCCCCATTCCAACCCCTGTAAACAGAGCCTTTTTTTTGCTGCCCTTCTGCACACCTATGTACTGTAGGTGAGAACCAGCTCTCATGGGTGCTGGATAATGGATTTGGCCTGCCAGGAGAAGCAGATGGTTTGCACACAAAAATTTTCAATACTAACATGAATAAACATTTTAGTTATTTTCAAAGTAGTTCAATCTACAAAATTCTTTTAAAAAATGCACCACAAAAATGGATACACTGGTTTACAATGGCTGTGTCCTCATACACAACTGATCATATTGCAATTAGTCAAAACAGCTAAGTAAAAGTAACATTTTAAAGGAACTAATTTAGTAATTAATAAAACTAAGTTAATGGTTGAAGTTGTGGATGCTGAAATAAAAGGATCTACTTTAATCACTTCATTGAGGTGGGGACTACCTGTCCCTATGAGTTTTTTAAAGGACTGTTACCATAATGTAGGATTTTAGGACTTGTCCTCTTTCACCTTAAAAACACCTGATAAGAACCATTAATTACCTTTCCCACAATTACTAAAAATTAGGGTTGAATTTAAATTAGAAGTAAAAATAGGTTATTTAAAAATAACAAAGCTTACTTTGTCTACTGTGCTAAAATAACACAAACTAGTTTTACCAGAGTTAGCAACATGAACCACAAATACACTGGCAAATTCACTCTCCTCTGGCCAATCTACAAATCATTGCCTCTGCAGGCAGAGATGCTACTACCTTCCTCTGGAGTTCAGTTACCCATAGGCATCAGTAATACATCTCAATAAAACATCTCAAGGACGAACTGGAGACAATACATTGACTTTCTTAGGGACGGTGAGAAGTGAAACAAGATACAAGAACCATACCATGGAGTATGTCCAGTGTTACACCCACCGGTCAGGTCAGAAAGGATGTCTCGAGACCTCCGCCCCGCAGTGCACCGTCAGGAGTACTTGTGCAGTCCAGCTTCATTTGCAAACAAGTGCTGGGAGGAAGTTTACATTTGAAACTCTGAAAAATCAGTGTCTAGGTTGGCAGCAGTATTCTGGAAACTGATTACATCAGATTCTGTCCTATATTTTAATTTCCCCTTCTCACTAATACATGACTGCTGCCCAGCATACAGTACTTCCACTTTAAACTACAGTAGTTTCTTGAAATTTCTGTCAAACATTTCTGTTGTATAAAAGTTCCATGCTTTGAAGAACCTATAGTAGAAAAAGTTTCTCTAGAAATGTCACTTAACTATATTTTCAACCTAGTTGCTCTATGTGATAAATACATCTGACTATACTAGGGACTATGTGCTTTAAAAAAATAATTTTGTTCACTGAAAATTTACCTGTGTTTTCTCATTTTTAAATGTGATTTTGGCTATAAATTCTTTAGTGCATTTATCTTTTGCAGTCTAAATTGCACTCTAAAAAATATTAACACAGCTGAGTTAAACCAGAGTGGCTGTTCTCTTCACAAATCACTGATTTCTACTAAAATTTTAGCTTTTTTATTGCATCATGAAGGCACAGTAAGATCATTTGGCAAATTGTCAAGGTATTTTTCTAGAGCCTCACCTACACCATTCCAACATACAACCTGTAAGTTATTTGCTGTTCATACAGTAAACCTTCCATCTCTGGCTATGGTTTTTTATAGCCGTAACGTTGGAATCTGCTCGCCTCAAGGTGCTGACATTCTAGCACTAACAATGCCAACTTGGACAAAAAAGAGAATCTTGCAAAGGGTAATCATTCTACCCTCTTAGCTGGGCAGTCTCTCTATCTGCGCATGTGACAAAGCCATGGCTAACAATGAAGATGTACTGTCTTGCCACGCCTACTGGAAATTAAAATTATATCACTGTTAGTGAAGTGATACTGTAACTATTTAATTTCATGCAACTGACTTAAGGTTAAGATTCTGAAACATACTCCTAACCAGATTGTGGCACCACTTGCAACAACATTCAGATACTCTGAGCTACACTTTTTTACAGTATTACTGTTTAAATGTATAATGCCCTTTAGGACAAAATGAGAGTGCTCAAATGCTAGTACACAAAACAGTTAAAATCTTAAGTCATCTTCATGTTCTAGAGCTCCTGACTTTTCATATTTTAAAATAAATAACTATTCATTACCTCATTCTGAGGAGGTAGTTTTTTGAAGAGGTTGCCTGAACCCTGCAATGTGTTTCAAACTAAAGCTAGAGATGAGGTTGGCAAGCAGCTGGTGAGGTGGACGTACAGTGGGGACAGGTGAGATCTGACGTGGGGCAAACGGCAGCTTGGACACTGCCTGATGAATACAAGGTGACATGGTGTGATGAAAGAGCTGTGACTACACCATACCAGAAGCTAGGAAGTATTTACAAAATTTCAGGTTGATGGTGCGGAATTCTTACTTCGTTTCTTTATATAATGCTCTTTCTTCTCCAATGCCAACCTAAATAGAACACATATAATGTATACAGGATTTTATCTTCTAGGATGCCCAAGTATATCTATCAGATCTCAAATACGATCAGGGACAGATGTTGAGGAACCAGAATTTGACAGCTATACAGAATGTTCTTTTAAGGTGCATGTAAGAACACATAATCATATTAGATTTATATTCACAAATCCCTTTTATACACCACTTTTTTTGTCAATATTATTGTGGTAAAAATCTAGGCCCTAGACTCTAGTTTAATGATGAAAAAAATCCATCAGGAATACTACATATTTAAAAGTGATCTTTTATAGTTGCTCTCAAATTTTTCAGGCTTCGCTTCATCCTACCCAAAATAAAATATACTACAGAAGGCACTGCAGCACTTTACAGACAAGACTCTAACAGCCTTACAAGATGATCAGTGTGAAGCAGCCACATACTGTCTACACAAATTGCTCATAAAGTGCTTTTCACAAATAAGGATTTTTTTCCTTATATTTTCTTAGGAGCTCAAGTCTATCTGTAGTTTAAGCATCAAAAAAAATCAAAACAAATAAAATTCATACGTCATTTCTAAACTAGAGAAAAAACTATCTGATAGAAAAAAGGAAGAAAAGGTTTATTATTTTTATTTTTTAAGATCTCTATAAAAATTTCTCAATACCCTGAGCCTAGCTTCTGGGCACAGCTACATTTGAGATCAAGTCTGTTCCCCCTTTTCAAATGAGATAGCAACTTATTCTAAAATGAAAGGGAAGAAAAAGCGCATTACCTGAATTTTGTTTAGAAAACTCAAATGCTAAGCTTCCTCCCTCACCGTACTGGCTCCCCTGCCCGCCACGCAGCAGGACCTGGAACGGACACATGCCTGTGGTTCAAGCCCAGCACTCTTCACCGAGGCAGACTTTAAGCCAATCTTGGTAAAGGGAACACAGCCATGTTTAAAAGCATCTAGAGACATATTAAAAAAGAAAAAATAACCAATGCTTTCCATGAGAGGCAGCAGCACACACAGAAGATGCTCAGCACGATCATTTCCATCTCTACGATTTCTGAATTCTGGACAACACTGCTCTGCTTATGTAAGACTTAAAAACACATTGCTTTTTAAACAAGTAACTTTGGGCTCTTTTCCATTGTACTAAAATAACCTTTTACAAGTCCCATGAAATTTTCAGTAGGCCTTCTTCCGAATATGGGTATTTTAGCAAAAAATCATCTAACGGTAGTGAACTTTTACTAAGCTGTAATATACGTAGCAGGCTAGGAGTTACAATCCAAAATTTCTAAACAACAATACCCAATCCCTTGATTTATTTTAGGCCCGAATTTCTTTTAGGTTCTTGGCTATAGTGTGGCTGGATTAAATACATCTGATTTGATTAACATTCCTTTATCCTGATTCTAGACTCAGGGAGGTAATTTCATTAATTTGTCATTAATACATGTACATCTAGAGCCACTACTGTGATTTATATTACCCTTTGATAAAGGCCACAGGAAGGCCAAAGGCTATGATCAGGTTATATTTTCCACTTGTGCAAAGACAAGAAAGATTTAGGTTCTTAAGACCACGTCAACCCTTTCTATAAAAGCAACTGACCACAGGCTTCCCACATTGTCCCTAAGCCCCAATATTCCTCAAATGGCTCTATTCTCTGCCTGAGACTCAGCTGCCAAATTATCCAACCTTTTGAAGACCAGGCTTGGGAAAAAAGGAAGGAAGAGAATGAATGGAGACACCACCATTTTTATTTTAGGTTGCACATTCTAGGTAAAAGACTAGAAAGAGAATGTAAGATGTAGTGTAGGAATAAGTAGGAAGAAACAATGAGATTATTAGCAAAGATGTTAGTATGGATCCAGCAAGTACCATTAATTTAAAAATTATTTGTCATTATGCTAGGACTCCTCATATTTAGGTAGAGAAAAGGATAATGACCTTTCTTTAAAAGGTGTTTATATAACAAAAATACAATTTTCAAGATATATAATTCTGGTGGGAAGTATTATCTTATTCCAATTCAATTAAACATGAAAATTATTTTCTTTTTAATAAAAATAGAACTTAGAATAAAACCTGTACCTTACATTTAGATTATATAAATTTCTCACATTCAAAACTGTTATTAAGCAGTTTTGTAGGCTTTTAGTTAGATGCTGCCATGGCAGTTTGTGCCCTGGACAAAGTAGCCACATAAGTACTTGGTGACTGGAAGAGCGTAAGAGGAAGATATACATGTATTTTCCTGAGAACTTGCTACATTGTGGAGAAAAAAGATCCCCAAAACTGTCTTCATTGCTGGACCCAATGAAAAAGAAGGCAATGTGTGCCAGCAGTCTCCAGCCTGCTTGGTTAGGCAGACCCCTCAGTGAGCAAGGAAAACAAAAGGCCAGAGACCCAGGAGGTCAGGAAGAAGATGCAGCCTGCCCCTTTCTTCTATACCAAAATGTATCTCCTCCTTACTGTTCATTCTCCACTTAAATAAAAAAGCTCCATTTTGATAAAATTTGTCAAGGACGGAACAAACACCACACAGAAAGGGCAAGCTGCATTTTTGTTCCATCCCTCAGAAATTAACTGGTGGTGGCTAGGGGAAAGAGCTCCACAACAAAATCCCAGAATAGAAAAGAGAACAATGCTTGGTGATTGAAATTGCCCCATCAGATGATCAGCCACATATGGATCTGGTGGTTAGAAGGGCAAAGTTGACTGGCAGACTTCCCATAGCAAATCGCCCAAGCTGTAGCAGCAGATTCTTTCCATCATGCCTGACCATCAAAAGGTCAGAATTCAGGGTTTCTCCTTTTTCTTCCTGGGAGTGGGCAGACTTGTATGCACGTGGTATTTGTGTTGAAGAAGAAACACTGGCAGCAGAGAATTCTGGTTCCTAAAACATTCTTCCCTCTCTTGTTGGATAGGAAATTCCATTCTGCTCCACATCAGCTTATGCATTGAAAATTTTGTATCTTTAAAAAAAAGATTTGAGAACAGAACTGTGTTTTGATGTTAACAAATTGTACGAACACAAGACTTAAGAAATAAGAGTAGATGCTGCCATGATGGTGTGGCTACTTGAAGGCTGCAAATTCTCCTGTAGGGGGAGGACAAGAGCTAATTTTAAAAAAGTTATCCCAATGTAGAGACAGACAAGTCTCATTTGAACCTCATTGAAAGGTGACTTACTTATACACTACAAATCTAGCAACATCACTAATTTAAAAGAAAAATGGCTGAAACCCATAAAAGAACCCAATTATATAATATGTAGAACATGGTTCAGTGATACCAATTTTTATAAATGTCAAGTCTGAAGATAATCCCCCAGCTAGGTTTTATGTGCTGTGGTTCTGATCAAGCTGAAAACAGTTCCAACAAACAAAATTTCTCAGAAACTAATTATAAAATAGTAATATCAATTTGTAGAATGATTCCTCCCCCCCGAATTATCAACTTATTTCACCTATATTATTATAAAACAAATATTAGGAAGGGATAAGAAATTTTATCCTTTTTCAAAATTAGGTCACATCATTAGTCCACATCACACATTTGACAGAGGGAAAGAAAATCCTGACCTTCCCTCTTCTATGAATTTCACCTTTTAAACTACCACAAAATTAAACATAGGCACATTACAGAACATAATTATCAGCATAAGTGATTTTTTTTTTTTTTTTTAAGACAGAATATCACTATGTTGCCCTTGGCAGAGTGTTGTGCCATCACAGCTCACAGCAACCTCCAACTTTTTTTTTTTTTTTGGCCGGGTCCGGGTTTGAACCCAACACCTCCGGTATATGGGGCCAATGCCCTACTCCTTGAGCCACAGGTACTGCCCCAGCAACCTCTAACTCTTGGGCTTAAGCGATTCTCTTGCCTCATCCTCCCGAGTAGCTGGGACTACAGGTGCCTACCACAACGTCTGGCTATTTTTTGGTTGCAGTTGTTATTGTTGTTTAGCAGGCCCAGGCCAGGCTTGAACCCACCACCTTTGGTGTATGTGGCCAGCACCCTACTCACTGAGCTACAGGCACCAAGCCTGCATTGTGATTCTTAAAACCGCCAAGTCCCTTTGAGGTACCACACTCTTTTAATTTACTGAATTTGGGGACTTGAGGACATTATTTTACATCTCCCATTTTGTCTACTGCTTCTTCTACTTGTAATAAGGCCAGTTCCTATTATTATGGACATTACAGTTAATTTCTGGGGGCTGATTAATAACTGATGACTTAGAATTTAGTTAGCCATCATATCATTTTGCAATAGCAGCTTCTATTGAGGATCTAAGCAATCACTTATAAGGAGGGAATAAGGAATGCTGTGGTATCAGCCTAGCTCACAGCAACCTCAAACTCCTGGGATCTTCCTGCCTCAGCTTCCCAAGTAGCTGGGACTGTAAGTACCTACCAAGATGGTATTTCACTCTCACTCAGGCTGGTCTTGGAAATCCTGAGCTCAAGGGATTCTCCTTCCTTGACTTCCCAGAGTGTTGGGATTACAGGTGTGAGCCACCTCACCCTGCCCCAATCCAGTTTCTGATTGCTATTAGATTCCAAGGTTGCTAGATAATATTGGTATGTTCCAACAAACAATAGATTTGATAATGACTGGCTGACTGAATTCTCAGATTTTTAAGCTGGTAATATTAGTGAGCGGGAGCCTGACATATGTCAAGTACCTCACTGAACACCTTAGACACATTTGCATCTGATCCTCATGGTAAAACCCTGATGAAGGCAGATGCTATTATCTCTATTCTACAGATGAGCAAGCTGGGCTTTACAGTGCTCAGTAACTTGCCTGGGATTGTCCAGCTAGAAAATGGAGAGCTGGAATGGAAACAGGTGCTGACTCCAAGACCCCTGAGCCCCTAAACGACTCTCATTAATTAATAATTTGTTTTCCCACTCGGAATACAACAACTACTATGACTGCAAATAGTCATATTATCTCTTTCCATGGAAGGATTCCTTTTAATAAGCAATTAACTAAGGTGTTTTTGAGTCAAAAGATCAAGGAAGGGTAAAAGAGTTATTACCTCATATTTAAAGTTAAAAGGATTGGGGAGTTGGGCACTGATTAAAATGAAAAAAAAAAAACCTAAATTAAATTTCTAACATTTTCAGAGTACAACACAGAGACTAGAAATATATAAACATTCTCACTATCATTGTTTATAGTTCGAGTACATTATAGTATTAAGGTTGCTATTTTCACTATTTTAATATATTTTAATAAAGTGATTAGCAACATTCTTATGAGTAGTCACTGTATCTAGAAGAATCTAAATTTCATTAAAGGAAGCCAATGTGAAAATAAGACTTACATAACAGAAAGCTTTATAAAAATGGCTAAAATTTAACTATTAAGTGAAGAAATATTGGAAAACAATGATATCTAAGCCAAATCTTATATAACGCATTAAAAATACTTTCAAAAATTTCGGATTTTCCTATTCATTATAAGACTTAGACACTTCATTTTGTTGAACAGTGTTATACAAACTTAAATAACAGCCTTAAAACAACCCACAAAAAATAAAATTTCACCAACAAACTCCAAATCAAATACAAATTAAAGCAAATTAAAGTCTATTGATTCTAACAGACTGTAGTTCTTTTTATAATCACACTTTGGGTCTAGGAAATAAAAAAGAATTTATAGTTCAGGAATCAATAAAATAACTCTTTTTATAAATCTCCCTGAAATCACAGAGAATTTTAAGGAAAAGATGGGAGTGAAAATAGGCAGTAAGTTTGCTTTTGGGGGAAAAATATTTTCTTACTTAGTGCTTTTTGCATATCTGGAGATTTCTACTGTTTCACCTTCTACTCTACTTTATTTGAAGTAAAAGCCAACTCTGCTTTTATTTGACTTTGTGATTTTAAGCAAATCTTGGTATGTTAATTTAATTAGCAGGAAAATTTATTAGAGGCCAAAATGAAATATTTTCTTTCCCATCCTTTCTGTTTGAAGATAACCTAAGTTCTTTTATCCATTTGACATTATTTAGGGATAGGGCAGAGAATATTTGGGAAGACTATTTTTTTTTCCCTGAGACAGAGTCTCACTTTGTAGCCCCCAGTAGAGTGCCACTGCATCATAGCTCAGAGCAACCTTAAATTCTTGGGCTCAAGTGATTCTCTTGCCTCAGCCTCCCGAGTAGCTGGGACTACAGGTGCCTGCCACAATGAGGTCTTGCTCTTGCTCAGGCTGGTCTCAAACTTGTGAGCTCATGCAATCCACTTGTCTTGTCCTCTCAGAGTGTTAGGATTACTGGCATGAGCCACTGCGCTCAGCTATTTGGGAAGGCTTAAAAAAACAGGACTGTATTTTAGATACCTCAAATGCCATAGACTGTTTATTTGAAAGCTAAGGACTTATTAACTACTTAAAAAATATTATTAATTACTCTTTACTCCAAAATGGAATGTATTTCAATGACCATTATACATATAATTTGATAAACATCCTTAAAGATAAAATATGCTATAAAAAAATCTAATAGGTTACTTCTTAAATCAGTCACTGCTTCAGAGGTAAGGAGACAGTCAACTGAAACCAGAGTAAGTCCTTCCTGACTTTGTGATGATCTTTCTGGAGTTTTCAAAAGAATGGGAAACATTTTGGCATACATATACTAGGCTTCTTTTATTTTGAGACAGTCTCACTTTGTCACCCTTGGTAGAGTGCCATCGCGTCATAGCTCATAGCAACCTCAAACTCCTGGGCTTAAGCGATTCTCTTGCTTTAGTCTCTCAAGTAGCTGGGACTGACTACAGGTGCCTGCCACAACACCCGGCTCTTTTTAGAAATGAGGTCTTGCTCTGGCTCTGACTGGTCTCAAATCTGCGAGCTCAGGCAATCCATTTGCCTTGGCCTCCCAAGTGCTAGCATTATAGGCATGAGCCACCGCGCCCAGCCCATATACTGGCTTCTTAAATTTTTTGAGAAACAGTCAGAGGAGAGATGAATATTTAGTAAAGTGCTATAGAAATGTTCAGTAATTCAATAATTCTCAAATAAGACTGTAACTGATGAAATATTTTAATCATGAAGTACTCATTTCATAATATTTTTAAAAATGCAGGTAATTTCCTAAAGAATGGCCCATGTGAGGGAAAGGCTATTTAAGCTGGTGTGTTAAGTGGCCACTATTTTAGAGAAGATGATTTTAACTACTGGGTTAGTACTTAAACAGCTGGTATAGTACCTGAAAATAACCCTGAAACACTTGATCCCTAAAATATTTAAACCATTTAAAAACTACTTAAGAATCAAGAGGACAAATCTTATTCTTCATGATTGGCTAGTAAAACTTTTAAAATGTAAAAGAAAATTTGATAAAAAGCTTGCCTTCTGAAGAAGGAAATCAACTTTAATAAAAAAAAAATACGAGGTTTTAGGAAAGCAGCATCACCAGAGAATGAGTGTCCTTCTGTTCCAATTACCTCATCTAAAAGACTAACACTACGTGTGGGTTTTAAAAATCATAGTTTTCTTTATTTGGAGGCTATATCTAAAACTCAATATAAGACAATGAACAACAAAAAACGGAAAGGGAAACTAATTTACTTCTACTGCTTCTTATTTCTTTGAATCCATGTTATTTAAACATGTCACCTGTCACATTTTAATTTTTTTTCCTTTAAAAATATATTTATTTATTTAGAGATGGGGTCTTTCTCTCCCACGCTGGAGTGCAGTGGCATGATCATATGCTCACTGCAATCTCCAACTCCTGAGCTCAAGTGAGCCTCCTGCTTCAGCCTCCCAACTAGCTGAAAACTACAGGCATGTAACACACATACGCCTGGCTAATTTTCTGTATAGACGGGGTCTCACTGTGTTGCCGGGCTGGTATTAAATTCCTGGGCTCAAATGATCCTCCCACCTCAGCCTCCCAAAGTGCTGGGATTAGAGGTGTGAAGCAATGCCCCAGCCAACCTGCCACACTTTCAATGTTCTTCCACTAACATTTCCAACTGGGCCCAATTTGGAAAGGATAGTAGAATTACCATGTGATCCTTTGGAGGCAAGTTCTAGTATCTATAGATAGCACAGAGAGTTTCTGAGCAGCTCTACAGAGCTTGGCCATGCCCCCTAGTAAAGGAGATAAAGAAAGAAAGGTGTCAAATGGAGATGGGAGGGGTGAACAATGAGAGGAAAATAAAAGTGAAGCAGGTATAGTGGGAAATCATAGAAAAAGCTCTACCACTAAAAAAAAATTCTTCGACATTTGTGCTTCAAAATGCCCAAACTCTTGAGCATTCAGTAAAGTGAATTTTGTAAAAACTTTGTCAGTTACATGCCTGCTATTTTATTTGTGAATAAATAAAACTTCATCTGACAATCACTAATAATATCTTTAGTGTCACTGGAGGATTTAGAAATCATGTATTTTAATATATTCCAATATTACATTCTTTTATCCTTTTCTTATTCTCAGTTTTCAAAATATGAGAAATGTTCTTTTTCCCTATCTTACCTAAATTGAAAGTCATGAATTTATTTCTGAAATCACAATGGCATTATTTAAGCTCCCTAAATGATGGGCCAAGTTTGCCATAATTATTAAATATTACTGAATGGTTTGCCTGGATGAAATCTAACTATTCAAATAAAGAAAATGTTTTCAAAGTCTTCCCAATTTTCTTCTTTATTGACTTCAAAGAAGGATGGCATTTATGCAGGTGCTGCCTGCTTGATAGAAAAACCTTGTAGCTGTACTTTAAAATCATGACAAATCCAAATCGAGAAAGTGAAGATACAGTTAACAGGTGGGTTTTGGTTCCTGGGCTGACTATGAAGTAGGGATGGCTGTATCTTTGACAGGACAACAACAATGCTGTGCTTTCACTTTTGATTCCCTTTGAGTCACAGTAAGAATACACTGACTACCACATTAGTCATCTTCTACACAGCAGAGTGCAGGCATTAGAGAGTGCTAACAAATACTTCAGACTTTGGAATATAAACAGAGAACAGCATTCATTCATCATAAGTAGAATCTCGCTCAGCAAAGAATATAAGGACAGAAATTTCATGAGAAACAATGATAAGGTGAGTGCTAAAATATGCATCTTGACAGGTAAGTATAATTTAAATAATAACAATTTTAAAAAATCTATTACCTGGTTGTTTAGCAACCAGAGTTATCTAAAAGAGAAACAAACAAATGTGGAAGTTCTCACAGAATTCTTTGAAATTGTAGGGGTGTGTGGGTGGGTGTTTTACTATGGAAATGCATTTTCTAGTAAATTTGACTTCTACACATGTAAGACATTCTTAATATGAGAATAAAGAAATACTATTTAAAAGGAACTCCAATTTATAACATTTTTTCACTAAAAACCCAAAGTAAACATTTACTCATGTCAAACATGCTACTGCTAACAATATCTTTGGTCACTCATACCCACAACTTATAAAAAGAAATTCAGTCTACTGCTTCAAGGAAATAAATAATATCCAAAATTTCCAAATTGTAGTAAAAAGAAATAGTTATAGAAAAAAATATTGAGAATAAAAACAGGGATTATTCACTTTTAGTGACATCCTAAATTGTGTCTGTTCAGTTTGCCTTGTCTAACCCAGGCAACTTCCCACCTGCAAACACACACAGGAGTGTTTTTCCTTTGGAGTCCCTAACAGATAAGTGACAGCTAATAACAAAAGTTGCATGAGAAAACTAAAAGAGAAAACTGAAGTTTAATAATTAAAATAACCAAGTAAACAAAACAAACTTGGAACAGGAAGTAAAGCCTCTAGAAGAGGCACTGCTACTTTTTAGTAATATTGGTATATTTCAACCCTTGAATGTTGAAAATCCAATGTTAAGTATGAATTTTAGATTGGGAAGAAATTATATCTAGTCCTTAAAAACACAAGTGTTCTTTGGTTCACCTTAAAAAAAAAGAGAATATCCTAATCAGTTTAATATATAAGCAAACATATGTTCATTATTTTCCTTTTGTTGCTACTCTCCTGTACTCTCTTGCTCATTTAATTTGTTTCAGTGGACAGGAAACGCACCATATCCCCCTGCCTGGATGGGTGTTTTTGGAGAAGCACAAGCATATAGACTAAAATCCTCTGTTTGGAAACCAGCCCGATTCAAGGAGGGTTCTGATGCACTGCGGTGAATTTTTGGCAATGAGCGGGCCAGCAGCTCAATAGAGGCGAGAATCTACAAAAACAAAAACAAAAACAAAAACAAAAAAAAAAAAGAAAGGAAAAAAAAAAAGAAAGAAAAAGAAAAAACAGAAAGAATGAAAATCTGGGTGGTGTAAGTCTTTGAAAGTCCCATCATATTTTACAAGAAAGTACCTGAAATTTTACATAGTTTTTGGTATTTATCATAAATGCTTGGAAAAATATTTACAAGGAAATTGATAATTTGTTAAAAGGAAAACTACCAAACTACTATAGCTTTCATCTCTATAAACTGAATGAGGAATGTAACTTAGACTTAGCTTTCGTTTGATTTTTAGCTCATTTGCCAGCCTTGAAACAGTGATTAATAAAAATTTTAAAGCAATTATAAAACCTATTTAGCACAGACCCACAAGTCCCTTTTGGGAAGAAGATGGAGTATAAAAAAGCACATACGGCCATCTTTAAACAGAACTATCAGAACAACTCACCCTTTAAAGAAACTTAGCAACAGGAATATCTTACACACACCTAATTAAAAGCAGAATCCCACTGACTCAGACTGCTAGTGGCACATGAGAAGTGACAGGTGACAACCCAAGAGTTGAAGACAGGAGACCTCTACAAATAGACACCAATACACAAAACATAGACATTTATATATTTTAAGGTACAAAGAAATAGTTATGACCCTTGAAGGCATACAGCATGACAATGCATGTTCATAATCATGAGACTTATTTATAGGGCGCAGCATAATGCCTGGCCGATAGTAAGGAGTAGTCAAGAAAACTTTAGCAGCCACTATTACTTTTATTATTGCCCTGAGCTACCAAAACTTTTTGTTAAGTTAAACTATAATCTTTATGATTAATATAAGACAAGGAAATAAGCAATGTTACAAAAATTGTTAAATTCCAAGCATAATATGCAATAAAAATTCAAATAACATAGAAACTTCTAAAATAAGAAATACGAAGCTCTTAAACTCCACCTTCCAGGGTAACCACTGCTAGAGCCTATACTTTTGATTTTTTTTTCAGACTGTGTCTCAAGCTGTTGCCCTGGGTAGAGTGCTATGGCATCATAGCTCATAGCAACCTCTAACTCTTGGGCTCAAGTGATCCTCTTGCCTCAGTTTTCTATTTTTAGTGGAGATAGGGTCTTGCTTTATGCTCAGGCTGATTTCAAACTTGTGAGCTCAAGCTATCCACTCACCTAGGCCTCTGAGAGTGCTAGGATTATAGGCATGAGCCACTGCATCCAGCCAAGCCTAATACTTTTTTGGGGACGCTTTCTATGCATAAACATACACATATGAAAACAGAGACCACTCACACCACCTTTTAAAGTGGTACCATACTACATATATTTTTTCTGCACTGTTTTCCTTTTTTTCTTGTCGATATCCATGTCATCTATACAGAGCTACCTTAATCTTTACATGTCTGATTTTTCCTATACACACATACACTTATGAAAGTAGGTTCTGTAGAATAAATTTTTGGAATATTTTAAATTTATTAAATTATGGATTCTACTAAGTCCTTCCAAAAGGCTAAACAATTTACATTCCCACCAATTGGAAATTCCTCCCTTTCCAATAGTTTTCAGTCCTGGTATTGTCAATCCCAGAGGCAAAAATTTTTTTTTTTTTGAGACAGCGCCCCAAGTTGTCCCCCTGGGTAGAGTGCCCTGGCATCACAGCTCACAGCAACCTCTAACTCCTGGGCTCAAGTGAGTCTCCTGCCTCAGCCTCCCAAGTAGCTGGGACCACAGGCGCCCACCACAATGCCCAGCTATTTTTTGGTTGCAGCCATCATTGTTGTTTGGCGGGCCCGGGCTGGATTCAAACCTGCCACCTTAGGCATATGTGGCTGGCGCCTTAGCTGCTTGAGCCACAGGCGCAGAGCCCCAGAGGCAAAATTAAAATGCTGTGTGACTTTACATTTTACTGCTGCTACTAAAATCTGTTCACCATTTCCTAAGTTCATTCACCATTTATATTTCTTTTGTGAATCACTTGATTTTATCCTTTTTTTTTAAATCTTTATTTTTTGAGATGGGGGAGTCTCACTTTTGCCCAGGCTGGAGTGCAGTGGCACCATCATAGCTCACTGCCGCCTCCAACTCCTGGGCTTTTATTTATTTATTTAGAGACAGAGTCTTACTATGTCGCCTTCAGTAGAGGGCTGTGGCATTACAGCTTACAGCAAGATCAAACTCACAGGCTTAAGCGATTCTCTTGCCTCAGCCTCCGGAGCAGCTGGGACTATAGGCGTCTGCCACAATGCCCGGCTATTATTTTTGTTGCAGTTGTCATTATTGTTTAGGAGGCCTGGAGTGGGCTCAAACCTGCCAGCCTTGGTGCATATAGCTGGCGCCCTACTCACTGAGCTATGGGCCGAGCCACCTGTTTTTAATCCTTTTTGTCCATTTTCTATTTTTTTTTGGGAGGGGGACAGAATCTCACTTTCCACCCCCTGGTAGAGTGCCAGGGCATCATAGCTCAAAACAACCTCAGATGCTTGGGCTAAAGTGATTCTCTTGCCTCAGCCTCCCAAGTAGCTGGGACTATAGGCACCTGCCACAATGCTCAGTCATTTTTTTTTTTTAAACTCCTAGCTAATTTTTAGAGATGAGGTCTTGCTCTGGCTCAGGCTGGTCTCAAACCTGTGAGCTCAGGCGACCCGCCCACCTTGGCCTTCAGAGTGCTGGGATTATGGGAGTGAGCCACTGAGCCCTGCCAGTGTCCATTTTCTATTAATTGTCTTTTACTCTTTGGTTTGTAGGAGTCCTTTGTATTCTACAAATATTTACTCTTTGTTTTACATGCTACAGTTATTTTTTCTACATTGTTAAGTGTTATTTTTACTATATAGAAGAAATTTTAGCGTTGTCATATCTGCTTATCTTTTCCTTTGTAACTTCTGAATTTTGTCTCTTGCTTTAGGAAAAGACTTTCCTACCTCAAGACTATTAAAAATATCATATTTGACATTTGTGTCTTTTATAACTAGATCTTTAGCTATTTAAAATTTATGTGGCATGTAATAGTACGGTATGGAATGGCATCTCGTAATGAAAATTTGAAAATAGGCCCAGTGCAATAGCTCATGCCTGTAATCCCACCACTCTGGGAGGCTGAGGTGGGAGGATTGCTTGGTCTCAGGTTTGAGACCAGCCTGAGCAAGAGTGAGACCCCGTCTCTAAAAATAGCCAGGCACTATGGCGGGTGCCTGTAGTACCAGCTACTTGGGAGGCTGAGGCAAGAGAACTGCTTGAGGCCAAGAGTTTGAGGTTGTTGTGAGCTATAGCGCCACAGCACTCTACCGAGGGTGACAAAGTAAAACTCTATCTCCAAAAAAAAAATAAAAATAAAAATAGTACATAAAAGGGGTAGCTCAAATAATCTGGAAAATTCATATGTGCATTTCATTTTTTGATACCATGGAATTAATATATTTAGAAGTATGATCATTTTTCTCCTTTTAATATCATTTTAGAAGTGGGCCTAAGGATATAATTTACATTATTTCTTTTTGCAACTTTTTTGACCAGGGTTGGGCTTGAACTTGCTGCCTCCAGTATATGGGGCCAGTGCCCTACTCCTTTGAGCCACAGGAGTGCCGCCCAGCACTGGTCTTTTTTTGTGATAGTCTGAGCTAAAAACAGAAAACCCCAAAACTCTTCCTCAAAGGAACAGTAATGTAGAATAACAATATGTGAGATGTTTATTTATCCATTTAATATTTAGTCTCTCTATTCTTCTCTAAGGCAACCACAAGAGCCTTGTTAAAAATATCAATTTGACTCAGAGGCTCATGCCTATAAATCTCAGAATTTTGGGAGACCAAGGCAGGAGGATCACTTGAGGCCAGGATTCAATACCAGCTTAGGCAAAACAGCAGGACTCCATCTCCAGAAATAAGCAAATAAATTAGCCAGACATGGTGATACATGCCTATAGTCTCAGCTGCTTGGGAAGCTGAGGTGGGAGGATAGCTTGAACCTGGAGTTCAAGGCTGCAATGAGCTACAACTGCATCCCTATACTCCAACCTGGGCCTCATAGTAAGACCCTAAAAAAAATCCAAAAATGCCCAAAATATCAAAGCCATAAATTTTATCTTCTTTAAATCTTTAGAGAATAAAAAAATTTTAAGACAAAAAATTAAAGGATGAGTAAATTACATTTTTATAATAGTGACTTCTAAGTAATCCAGCTAAGACTGGATATTTAAAAGCATAATGGTTCACAAAAAGAACATCCTCGTAATTATGACAGCAGAGTAACTATGGCAATCATCACTTTCCACTTGAAACTGTATTGATAACAAGGCATATTTATACAGTGCTATAACTTACTAAGCTTTAGAAAACACTGCATTTATATTATAATATCTACTACAGACAAACTCTAAGCTTGTTGAGACACTTAGTTTTATAGTTCTTTGTGGGGCTTATTAACTTAATTACTGTAGTAATTAAGATGAAACATGAAAAGATAAAAAGCAAAGAAAGTTATCAAGAATCAGAGAAAGGCAGACTGAGCTGATAGTTGCTTGTTCTTTTTGCCCCTGGTGGAAATGCCCCTCAAAAAGGCCTAGTTAATGGGAAGCTTGGAATCTGTTTATTTTACAGTAAGGAAGAATTAAAGGAGTGGTTCACAAAGTGTGGTCTATAGATGTCCACAAGGTCAAAACTATTTTCATAGTAACAGGGAGAAACATTTGCCCTTTTTACTGTCATTATTTTACAACTGGAGTTTTCAGAGATGACATGATGTGAAAATTGCAACATAGTAAGATTTGCCAAAAAAGGAAAAATAATACAACTCTTCTATTTGTTTGGTTTTGGATAGCATAACTGTTTTTATCTAAATGTTACTTAACATTTTGGTTTTATTATTATGTTTAAATAAATTCATAATTCATAAATATTTTAAAACAACTTTCATTTCTAATATACCAATAATTATTTATATAACCACAAGCTCTTTGGGAAGGGTTTTCAGTAATTTTTAAATGTGGAAATGGATTCAGAGATCAAAATGTTTGAGAACTACTAGACAAGTGCAAAGTTTTTCTCAATATTTTGTATCGGGAACAAAATTTCTAGGTGAACCACTGCTCAAGCTTTATAAAACCATCTTCATGTGTTTGCTTGTTGGGAGTCTGCACATGGAACCCCAACGCAGAAAATGGAAGCTGCGCGGCTGAAAAATGAGCAGAAACCTGCCTTTGAATGTTAGTCTGTTCTTTTAGGTAGAATGAAGTTTTTTCTTACTTGGGGAAAGAGCGGTCTCTCATCTCTTTTCTTTTTGAGGCACTCTGCCATTAATCTCTTCATGGCTTTTGGACAGTTACTCCGTACCTTACTGAGATCTGGGGATAGGTATCCTCGTCCCACCATAAAAATTATCTGGAGAAAGAATAAAGGCAAATTATAAACCTTGTAGTTTATGTATTAAAACCTTGTAGTTTATGTATTAAAAAATACATATTTACTGTAAATGCAATAAACTGTATACTTACAATGTGTATTTTCTATATGTACATTACACCTTAATAAAAGGTTTTAAAAAACAACACTAGTATTTGGATTTCTATACACTGTAGACTGTGGAGAGTCCAAACTTAATGGGCTGCCAGCTTGAACCCTCAGGATGCCTGAGTTGTACAAAGGTGTCCTAACTGCTCCCAGTGCTCCTGCACTTGCAGTCCCTCCTCCATCAGGGCCATTTCCTGCTGACAGGATAATCTTTCTAAAACTGATATTGCCTCTTTTTTACTTAAAAAAAAAAATAAATGTATCACGTACTTTTTGCTGTTGGACACTGTGGTAAGTCTTTCATATATGTGTAACAGAAACCCAAAATGGCAGCCTTTCCAGCGATCATTTTGGCATTGGCATTTAAAGCCTTTTGTTGTGGATACTCCAATGGGGCACTTAGTTGTACAAATCTGAGAACCAGAGCCTCCTCCAAGGAGGGGAGCTAAAATTTTGTTCAACAAAGTAAAAAGGCTTGTATTCCATGGACACAGAGATTTATAGTATTTTTAATATATATATTTTTGAGCCAGAGTCTCACTTAGTTGCTCTGGGGTCGAGTGCTGCAGCGTAACAGCAACCTCAAACTCTTGGGCTTAAGCAATCCTTTTGGTTCAGCCTCCCTAGTAGCTGGGACTAAGGGCACCTGCCACAACTCCTAGATATTTTTAGAGATGGGGTCTAGCATTTGCTCAGGCTGTTCTTGGACTTGTGAGCTCAAGCATCCAACCGCTTTGGCTTCCCAGAGTGCTAGGATTGCAGGCACGAGCAACTGCATACAACCTATTATTTTTAATTTCTTAATTTCCTAAATTGTTGGCTCTTTTGAGGGGGAGCAGAGACAGATGTTAGGAATCTGTGACTCAGGGAAAAGAAGGTCCTTCAGGAGAAGAGGTTTTGATCCAACAAGGGCAGACAAGGCTAAGGTGGAGGAAGCTGGAAGAGATCCCTGTAACAGGGCAGAGCTGATAAATTTTAGGAACAGTCAAGCTCCTTATGTAATTTCCTGTTATGTGCTGTAATGAATCTTTCTTAATTACGAACCTTTAGTAAAGCTTTCATTGCTATATGGTCTCTATAGGTTAAAATAATGAAGGTTGGGAAGATGGAAAGGGATATTCAGGGGAGTACTGTTGTCTCAGAATTCCAGGAGTAACCTGGAATAATGCCTTGGAGCAACAGGGGGCAAGCAACAATAGGAGAATGTAAAGCACTTTCAAGGGGCTTTTCAAAGTTGAAAGAAAGGGTCCAGACTGCCTATCTTGTCTTCTAGGGCAGCAATTCAGATATTCTTACTTGGCTAACAATGGAAAAAGTAGCCCTGAAAGGCCAAAGAACTGTGGGATATTTGGGTTATAGATGTCATTTTATTGATTTATTTTTAGAGACAAAAGTCTCACTTTGTCGCCCTTGGTAGAGTACCGTAGCATCAGAGCTCATAGCAACCTCAAACTCTTAGACTCAAGCAATTCTCTTGCTTCAGCCTTCCAAGTAGCTGGGACAACAGGCACCCATCACAACATTTGGCTATTTTTTTAGAGGTGGGGTCTCGCTCTGCCTCAGGCTGGTATGGAACTTGTTAGCTCAGGCCATCCATCCACCTTTGCCTCCCAAGTGCTGGGATTACAGGTGTGAGCCAACCCATCCAGCAAGAGTATTTACTCCATTTTACATGTAAGGAAACCAAAGCTCAAACAAATTAGATAACTTGACCAAGACAATACAGCTATGTAAGTGACAAAGAGGATTTAGAAGGACCATTCCAATACTAATCTGTTCTTACCCACTCTCATATTGTTTCTTTTCCTCCTCAGCTTGCAATGCCCTCCCTAACCCTGTTCTCTAACTATCTGAAATCCAGCCGAATCAGGCCTAACTGAAAGCTAACTGTGCTTATCGTACTTTTCATTTCATACCCACAGGTGTCCCCCTTCTCACCACCAGCCGTGATGACCATTTACTGCCTTGAATGGTTATTAATCATTTTGTAATATGTATCATCGAAGTTCCCCAATGAAACTATAGGTATTTGTAGGTCAAGGATTATGACTCATGTTTTTTTTTTTTTACGTCTATAACCACTCTGCTCCAGTATTCAACATAACCTTTTCTGGACACAAAAGATTTTCTTTCTTTCTTTCTTTTTTTTTTAGAGACAGAGTCTCACTTTATCAGCCTCGGGAGAGTGCTGTGGTATCACAGCTCACAGCAACCTCTAGCTCTTGGGATTAGGCAATTCTCTTGCCTCAGCCTCCCAAGTAGTTGGGACTACAGGTGCCCACCATAACACCCAGCTATTTTTTTGTTGCAGTTTGGCCAGGGCAGGGTTCAAACCCTCCACGCTTGGAATATAGGGCCAGCACCCTACCCACTGAGCCATAGGTGCCACCTGACAAGAGATTTTCAATGTTTAAGTTAATAACTCATTAGCCTGTGGTCTTTAAACCAGGATATCCTGGGGTAATAGGAAAGCCTTTTTTAAAATTTTCTGATGAGACAGGCTTGTTCTGTCACCTCAACTAGAGTGCAGTGGCATCATCATAATTCACTGCAACCTCAGACTCTTGAAGTCAGGTGATCCTCCTGCCTTAGCCTCCTGAATAGCCAGGACTACAGGTGAGCACCACCATAGCCAACTAATTTTTTCTATTTTTTGCAGACACAGGGTCTTGCTCTTGCTCAGGCTAGTCTTAAACTCCTGACCTCAAAGATCCTCTCACCTTAGCCTCCCAGAGTGCTAAGATTATTGGTGTGAGCCACTGTATCTGGCCCACGAAGACTTTACCAAAGGTATAGACGGAGTTGTTTTAAGGGAATTAATTTCTACATTGTCACGTTACTGATATCCCCTTTCAAAAAATGGATTTGCTATAGAACCCCTCAAGTGGAGATGTCAAACTTATTCTCCTTTCCCACCTCCCCTGTAATAATGCCCTTCTGATGCTTTACAAAAGGCATACCTTTTACCCAACAGAATCTAACTTATAATTGTCTGAGGGTGTAAAGACCACTGAACCATCAAAGAGAGATTTCCAAACATTGGTGTCTAACTGGACTTTCAAGAATGGGCAACAAATCTCTTTGTAAGTCAGTTAGTTTCCAATTTTTTGCTTTCCACATTAATCTCCAACTCCTGGCCTTAAGCAATCAATCCTCTCACCTCTGCTGCTGAAAGTGCTAGGCTCACAAGATGTAAGCCACTGCACCCGGCTCCCCAAAATTGTGATAAAGAATTAACCTAGCCCAAAGACAAGGCTGGCCTTTCCCCCTGTCTCCTGGGAGGTAATCACCAATCCCTTAAAACAGTGTTTTTCAATCTTTTTTATCTCACGGCACACTTGAACCTATAGTTAAACTTCCATGGCACACTTAAATTATGTTTATCAAAAAGAAGAGTAAAAAAATATACTCACCGTGCTTTGAGCCTCTTCTGAAAATAGTTAATGATCTTTTAAAAACTTTTTGCAGCATACCAGTTGAAAATCACTGCCTTAAAGTCTCCTGCATGATCAGAGTATTTTTCTGGAGGCCATGGGCCATGCCAGATGGTCTATGCTTTATGGAGGGGGCTATGGGGCATGTGGCATCAGCTTGATCTCTGGAGGAGCTGGAAATTTAGGGTAACCACATAGGTGGTCAACTCAATGTATGTGATTAAGCCCTAATAAGCAGTCTAGACTCCCAGGCTCAAGTTTGTCTCCCTGGCTGGCAAGACTCTGTGTGTACTGTCACATATTGCTACCGGAAGAATGAGTACTGTCTACAGCTCCACTGGGGGAGGAAGAGTAACTGGAAGCCCCACATGGGAACTCTCCTGGATTCTACCCCATGAGCCTCTTCCTTTGGCTAGTTTTAATCTGTATTCTTTCATTGTAATAAACTATAACTGTGAGTACAACAGCTGCCAGTGAGTCTGGAACAGCTGTGAGTTTCTGCCTAGTCTTTTTAGTGAATTACCAAACCTGAAGCTGGTCTTAGGGATCACTACACTCTGCATATGGCTATAACAAAACTCCTGCCTTTCCCAGCTGCTTCTTATTTGAATAAGATTTCTCAATACTTACCTTTCAAAATAAGACAAGGAAAACAATGATACTGAACCCTAGTTTGTTATAGCAAATAGGTCTTATTTATTCCCAGATATATAAATTAAATGAAGAGAAAAGAAAAGCCCCATGTCATTCATTAAGATACACATTTCCAATAAAATTTTACCCTCTATGTTTTGATAGCTCCAAACTTTTTCCTTCTTCATTAGGTATATAATTTTAACAATAAAGAATTTAAAAATTAACAGAGCCTAAGGTCACAGAAAAAAAAATTTTGAGACTGAGCCTGTCACCTGGGGTGGAGTGCTCTGGCATCACAGCTCACAGCAACCTCCAGTTCCTGGGCTTAAGTGATTCTCTTGCCTCGACCTCCCAAGTAGCTGGGACTACAGGCGTCCACCACATCACCCAGCTATTTTTTTTGGTTGTAGTTGTCGTTGTTGTTTGATAGGCCCAGGCTTGATTTGAAGCCGCCAGCTCTGGTGTATGGGGCTGGTGCCTTAGCTGCTTGAGCTACAGGCACCGAGCCAGTCACAGAAAATTTTTTAAAATTCTAAATTTAAACTTATAAACATATTTTTTTTTGCAGCGATATAACTTGAATAATCAATAAAAGGCATAAAACTAACATTAAGACAAAGTTCTGTGGGGGAAAAAGAGTATAAATAGTTGAAAGAAAAAAAAGAAACAGAGCTTTTGTATTTCTTTTTTATGCAGATGAGCCAAGACAAACATTTATTTTGCATTGGACTTCACTGGTTCAAAGGTCTGAATGCCTCTCTTTGGGGCTCCTCCTGTGCAGCACTTGAAACTGGCTGAGTA